ACCTTGGGCCTCCCCGGAGCAACATCGGTCATGCATCGTTGGTAGAGTGCGCGCGGTGCATTTCGGGAAGGTCAAATTGAGCGCGTCCATTTGAAAATTGAAACATGTTGTCGCGAAAGGAATATGAAACATTGTAGCTGTATATTTCGGGATATTTTCACAGGATTTTCTCAGTTTAATGGTTGGATATCTTCCGCATAAATCCAAGAAAGCAGTAAAGGTTAGTGAGAGTCAGTTTTACAGTGTGTATTGCCATGACAAAGGCCATGAATCGCGAGATATGAATACGCGATCGTGACATCGTTATTATATTTTGAAACTTAAACGTTTAAAACATTGCCCAAACTCTTTGATTCTCTTTTAAAAATGGTTCAGCTAAACGAATAACGATACTTGCTCATTAGATTTTGTTAATTTATGTTTCAACGCTGTGTGATCCCGGGTTATTCATTCTAATATGACTTTGTATATACAGTATACAGTATATCGCCATATTTGATGCCAGAACTAATTGCATTTATAATCCAATTCAATCCGCTACTTAGTTTTGATAATTTAGACCCAATTTATGGTTCCGTATGTTAGTCGTGTGTTCTTTATGTGTTGAACGCGATTCGATTTAGCTATTAGCTTTGATTTTTTGAAAATTGCGTACTATTATAAGCCCTTTGCTAGATGAATAAACTGATTTTTATTATGCTGCTCCCTTTGCCGGTTGCCTTTCTCAAATGAAGTGTCAACGTGCTACATCATTAAGCTTAATAAATAACTAGCGAACGGCCTAGCACATACCTATAACAAAATATGGGGTAAGCGCACACATAGGGACCACATATGTAGTAAACAATATCATCTCAACTTTTAAGGTTGGCCAAATCGCAAGTCGCAAATTGTCATCACAAGTAAATGCCCCTCCTGTTGCTCCGTGTATAATGATGATGAAAGATTGTTCAGAATGAAGGGAAAGATAACATACTTAATTGAACATAATATCCAATTCCATAGTGGTCTATAGTGTCCAAAAACTTACTTTTTATTTTACAATACTGAGACTCTTCTCGCACTATTTTGAGGCGAGATTTTAAGAAAACATAATCTGAGATGAAGGAATGCCAGACAATTTTTTGAATCTGATTTCTTAATTTCAAATCAAGTATATTGTAGATTTAAACAAGGTGATGTAAATTGAATAAAATTTGTTTGAACTGTAGAGTCAGTGCAAGTATGTTTTTATATGCATTTCAAAATCTAGCTAAAATCCTATGCACGGACGTTGTTTTAAAGGCAATAATCTAACGTCGATTCGATTTGCGTTTTCAAATCATTTTTGATGTCGTTTCAACGTTGAAATTTCATAAGTTGCAGACGTCGATTACCCGACGTCGATTCGATTTGTGTTTTTGAACCTTTTTTCGACGTCGTTGTGCTCACTGGGTAATTAGTTTTTTACATTAACACTTATACAGATGATATGAATTTGAATTAATTCTTAATTGATGCCTCCGTGGTATTCATATGATATTAAACCATTAAACTCAGTTGCATTTGTAAAAAAATAAGTAGGGAGCTCTGTTGTGCATTGTGGCTTAATGGCTAAATAACATGAGTAATTAATCTGCACAGCTTCCTATTGACTATCAAAATTGGCTGATGTATATATAGATAAGTAAAAAAATTAAAGCATTGAGTTAAGCTCTACAGGTAGCATAATGGGTTGAAAAAAGGACTATTTCTAAATTTTAAGTATAAAAAATCTAATCTTATTGTAGCATCTGCTGGAAGAAGAATTCAACTAGTCTCCAATCAGCATTTGCTCATTCGCTGTAAGAAGTATGAGCAATTCAGGTTTTCATACTGGAGAAGTGAGGAGCGAAGAAGGGTAATAAGACAGTACTGTAACCTTTAACTACTTATACAACTTAATTGATTCATTGTATTTAAAATGTCATTATATAGCTTATAGTAATTTCTGGGTACAGTGCTCTGAAAACAATGGCCACAGGGAACATTACCAGCAAAATTATGCAACTTGTTGGCCAGAAATTCAATGCTTCTTCAGCTGCAGCCTTGAAGAAAGAAATAATTCTAACAGTATTTATCAGATCAACATCAGTTTCCAATATCTAATTAGCCCTGCATACCTAATACCTAATTTTGAATACCTAAATACTTCATACTGCTCATATTGCTCACAATTATCAGTCATGTAGCCAAACAAGATTGCACAAGAGTGAAAAATATGATTTCAGAATGCATTATAAGTGAAATTTTAAGTGAAATTTGATAAGATATGAAGAAATATCAAGCCCAAATTTGCCATTATCAGCAGCTAGATTAGGAAATGAGTCACATAGTGCATTGCTTCATTACTTAATTTCAAGCATATATGACAATTTCACAGTTAGTTGATAGCCAATCAAAAACAAGGAATTTTTCAAATAAATAATAATATTAATTATAATTATTTAATCATATATTAATTACCATTCTTAGGGTCAAATTCCTCGTTCTTAGCATAAATTGATACTTGAAACATCAATTGACCAAGCACAGAACTTCAAAGATTTCTGGGGCTCCTTTTATGAATGGAAACTGGAGCCATGTCACAAAATATATATAAAAATAATGTTTCAGATGTTTAAATATATGTTTCAGATGTTTCAGACATTTTCCAACATAAGAAGGCTACAAGTCATTGAAAAATTTGCTGCAAGCTGTCGAAGCTGTTGTTTGTGACAACTTGTTGTGCAAGATTGTGTCAACAACTTGCTAAGACCTTGTTACACACAGTATAAGATGAATATATATCAGTATATCAATATATAATATGAAATCAGTATAAGATGAATATATGAATAATATAATAATCGATCATTGCATGTTAACAATTTTTTTGTCAATGAAATTTATAGTCGCTATAATGTGAAACCTATTCCCAAAACTTTATAGTTTTAAAATGTCTCGAAACATTCAAGCCTTATCAAACAAGGTAGAGTGTGACAAAAGCTAATTTTTCATAACCTGTACATGGAATGTTCACTTGGTTGTAATTTATATCAAAAACCAGTGCCCTAGTATTTAATAATTTTAATATTGCTGTTGAGGCACCCTCAATGGGTCGTGTGACTTTACAAATTAATTGTCAATAATTTGCATCAAACAGTACGGGCCGTGCCAGTACAATTGCAATGAAATTTTATGTTATTTACCATGGATGCAATTTTACCTTATATTTTGCATAATTTTTATGTGTAAATAAACTGCATTTACTCATGATTTTAATACAATTTCTGCTAAAAAGTCTAAACAATTAACATTATGCATTTGACAATTTCTGGATTTGGTCATAGAAACGGCTACACACTTCACACGATAATTTGCATATTGAATATTGCTATTTTATTATATCTTTATGCCGCAGGCAGTTTTATCTTCCCTTACCTTTGTTGGCTTTATACAATGTTTCCATGTATAAACTAAGGCAAGGGAATAACATACTAGAATCAATTCAAAAGGTGCCGTTTCATATTTTATATAACAGTTCAAAATAGTGACTAACAGTATAAACTTCTATAAACAATTTCAGTATAAACCAAAATATGCTGAAAAGTATTGTAAAATCAGCGATCATACACATTGCTTTGTAGTTTTAATATATCAAGGTTTATTTCAGATTTTTTTTTCACGATTGTATTGAATTTTCTAAATGTTCTTGCAAATGTTGGGCCATGTGGTTGCACCACAAATTGCGTAAATATAAGTTAAAAATTTCATAATGATATCATAATGTAACTAATTTAAAACAAATTATGATTTTTGGCACTTCACTGGATGCAGGTAAATTCTAGAGGTTTAATAAAGGGTCTTAATTTCGAGTGCAATTATACACACTTCAAATTCAAGCCAGGAACAGTTGATGGAAAAATTAATCAACTATAGGTCCTTCGGCAGAATAGAACCTACGCTTTTGCGATGCCGGTGCAATGCTCTTGCTACTGAGCTACAGAGGTAGCTGACAATGGCTAAGATGGTTAATGTGTATACATTATGGTAATGCCGGGAATAGGTGAGGCTAAATCAGTTATTAATTTTGGCATTGCACCAGCATTGCAAAAGCGTAGTTTCGATTCTGGTTAATGTGTATACATGATGATAATGCCGGGGAATAGGTGAGGGTAAATCAGTTATGATTTTTGGCACTTCACTCAATGCAGGTAAATTCTAGAGGTTTAAAGGGTCTTAATCTCAAGTGGAATTATACACACGTCAAATTCAAGCCAGAAATAGTTGATAGAAAAATGAGTAAACTATGCGTTCTTTGGCAAAATAGAACCTACGCTTTTGCGATGCAGGTGCAGTGCTCTTGCCACTTAGCTACAGAGGTAGCTGACAATGGCTAAGATGGTTAATGTGTATACATGATGGTAATACCGGGAATAGGTGAGGCTAAATCAGTTATTAATTTTGGCATTGCACCAGCATTGCAAAAGCGTAGTTTCGATTCCTGCCGGAGGACCTATAGTTGACTCATTTTTTTCATCAACTGTTCCTGGTTTGAATTTGAAGTGTGCATAATTCACTCGAAATTAAGACCTTTTAAAACTTGGACCGATGGCGCACACAACACAATAAAACAACAATGATTTGGGTTTCAAAATTGATTATACATAGTATAATTACAATCTGAAGCTATATAATACAAAGAAAAGGAAGAAAATATATAAGTATTTATTTTGACTAAACCCCTCTACTTAGTTTCCTGTACTTACATTTGTCCAAACCACTGTTTAGATTAACATAACAAACAAAACAACCCTTAAATTCGCTACTTTTATAGCTCAAAATTATTTAACTTCGCTTCGTCTCTTTGGCAATGTTTCCTCGTGTTCGTGCATTTTGTTTTCGGGCGCACTTGTGTACCCTCGTTACTTTATGTTATATACGTCTATAAGTCAACGAAACATTCCCCCCGGCAATGGGAGAATTCCCATTATTTTTCTTCATTCGTCTTCATAACCTTCGGCTGGATATATGATGGCAATCTTATGGATTGGGCGTGAATAAGTTCCTTTGCTCGTTTTTACAACAACGTTTCTTACGAAATCGTCTTGTCCAGGTAACACCTGAATAACTCTGCCAGTTTCCCATTTTCCTCTCACGGCGTTGGTATCTGCAACGACCACGTAATCATCAATTCGGACGTTTCGCGATTCTGTATTCCACTTTTTTCGCGGGGTTAATTGAGGTAACACATCTCTCGACCATTTTTTCCAAAATGCTTCAACGATTCGCTGACAGAATTCGAATCTGTGGCGTGGGTTCTTCGTCTGTCTAAATGGACCTTGAGGAACTGTGCTAGTTGCTCTGCCAAGCAAGATATCGTTAGGGCACAAAAAACGACCATCATCCGGATCTGTGGGAATGCGACCAATGGGCCTTTGATTAACTAGGTTCGCAATCTCTAGTAGGACTGTGTATAACTCGAACGGTGCCAGAACTGTATCACCAATGGCTTTCTTGAGAGCGGTTTTAACTGTTTTGACCATAGCCTCGGTACATCCATTTTGGTGAGGAGCGAGCGGGGTCGTGAATTGCCATTTTATACTGCGATCTGCGCAAAACTCTTTAAGCTGCTTTGCATCCCATCCTTTAATCATAGCATGTAACTCATTACTTGCTCCAACCATTTGAGTACCATTGTCGGACAAAAGAAGCTTTGGATACCCTCGGTATGAGAAGAATCGTCGTAATACTTGCATAAGTTCCATGGCACTAGCATCTACTGCAAGTTCACAGTGTATCGCACGCGTATTGAGACATGTAAATATGACGCCGTAATGTTTGGTTGTTTTATTACGACCAACTTTCACGTTAACAGGTCCGAAATAATCGACTGACGAGTAGAGAAATGGTGGCGTGTGTGGCTGTAAACGAAACTTTGGTAGATTTGCCATTAACTGCGTTTCTAACTTCGCTTCAATTTCCCGGCAAACTGTGCAACGACTCTTGACAACCTTCGCAATTCTGTGGGCTTTAATGATCCAATACTTTATTCTCGTTCTTGCGACCGTGGCTGCGACACCGTTGTGGCCAACTCCATGGGCATCACGCACGATGATTCTTGATATGTGGTGGTCATAAGGTAATAGGAGTGGTCGTTCATTCTCGTATGAAACAAGAGATGGATCTACGCGACTTCCAACTCGAATCAATTTGTTGTCATCAACGTAGGGAGAGAGGGTTTTTAATTCCCCTTTCTTTACTCTTTCGAAGAGACTGGATTGTGCTTGCTTGATCCAGTATTCTTTGGCAGCTTGGAGCTCTTCACCAGTTAAGGGTCCAAGCTCTCGTGGAGTGTCCCCATTGCCTTTCTTTATACGCAGATTTCGACCGAATCTTTGGACATAGGCGGTAATTCTTACGACTCGTTTCCACCTGGCGTAGCGTTGACAATCGAATATCGGCTGTGCAATGTTAACAGAGCAGGTAATCGTTACCTTTCTTCTTTCTTCGTTCACTTTGTTCTGATTTGGCATACCCGTTTCCATTGGCCAATTTTCTTCTGGTTGCATTAAGAATGTCGGACCATTGAACCATCTGCCGTTTAGCTCTTCTGGTGTAATACCTTTCGTAAGATCGTCCGCGACATTTTCAGCAGTGGGACAATGATGCCAATCTGCAGGATTGGAATTCGACTGAATTTCACTGACTCGACATGAGACGAATGGCTTGTACGCACGTGGCATTCCTTGAATCCATGCTAACGTTACTCTACTGTCGGAGAAAAAGATTGTTCGTATGAACTTCATTCGCGTTTCTTCTTGGATTGACTTTGCCAGACGACTTGCCAGTACGGCAGCTTGCAATTCGAGACGGGGTATGGTTAACTCTTTTAAGGGGGCGACCCGAGACTTTGCCGCTACGAACCGAACTCCGAACGTTCCACCTGCCAACTTCCATCTAACATAGGAGCAAGTCCCAAAGGCTAATCGGGATGCATCGCAGAATATGATTAGCTCTGGATTGCCAATGACGCCAGTCGGAGTAAGACATCGTTGAAATCGGACATCATTAAGTGCCGCCATTTCATTGAATAACACCGTCCACGTTTTCTTTAAATCAGACGATATTTCTTCATCCCAGGTAAGACCGTGCTGCCAAAGCTCTTGCATAGCAATCTTCGCTTTCACTAACGTCGCCGCTCCAGCCCCGATGGGATCAAAGATGCCAGCTAATTTGCTGAGGATAACGCGTTTCGTCATCTTGGTAGGCGTTGCTGATGTTGACTTTGTTCCATTAGGGGGTGTTTCAATAACAGGATCATTTGTCTTTACTGCAAATGAAAACTGATCTTCTTGTGGATGCCAAACTGTTCCGAGAACCTTTTGCACGTTGTTCTCTTCATTTGTTCCGAGAATTACTTCCTCTTTGCTTTCTTTATCCGTCAATGGGGCGTTGGAAATCCACTCTTTTATACGAAACCCACCAGCATCAAGGACTTCATCTATATCAGAAATTAGCTGTCTAGCTTCTTCAACTGAGGCTTGCGAATCACACACGTCATCCATGTAGGTATTTTCTTAATTGCTTCTGCTGCTTTCGGTTTGTTTTCTTCTCTCAGCTCGGCTGTTTTGTGCATTGCAACTGTGGCCATAGTCGGAGATGGACGATCGCCAAACGTCAAGACGGTTTTAACAAACACATCTGGTTCTCGATCTGTTTCCAAGTTGCGCCAGAGAAACCGATGGACATGCTGGTCTGCTAGCGGAATTGCATCATATGATACATCTTGGAGATGTCACCGACAACAGCTATCTCTCTTTCTCGAAACCGTAGCACTACCCCGAAGAGGTTATTAGCAAGTCCGGTCCTTTATACCAATACTCGTTCAAACTGTGGCCATTGTAGGATGCTGAGCTGTTGAAGACAATTCTAACAGGAGTACTTTTCTTTTCTGGGCGGACAACAGCATGATGAGCTACGTAATGCACGGGTCCTTTCCATTCCTTAATTTCATCTTTCGTTAATTTCCGAGAAAATCCCATGCTCTCCATTTCTTCCATCTGCTTATCATAGCTTTCGGCGTGATCAGGTGTCTTAGCGAGTCGACGTTCTGTGGATTCCATCTTCTTCAATACCTGTGTATAATTATCTGGTAACATTTCTGGGCTCTTTTTCCATGGATAACTGATAGTCCATTTCTTTTCTTCCAAATGGCAGGACTCTTCAATGAGCTTTAATTCTTTTTGTTCCTGCGGTGACAACTTGGTAGTTGGGCATTGGCATGGAGATATTGCTACTCCATCGACTCGGTATTCCAAAACTCAGAAAGGTCAACTGGTGCGGCTAATCGAACATTCAGGACACGAGTGCATTTCTGCTTTGTCGGCTCTTCATGTACTCCAAAGGCTACCCATCCAAGAGGGCTCTTTCTGACTGCTAAACCGTCCTTGATTCGAGTTTCACCAACATGAAATTGCGGATGATTGATGCCGACTAATAAATCCACAGGGCCAGATTCTCTTTTCAATTGATGAGTTGGTATTCCAAAGATCTCAGAGATCCTGTTCACATTGACATCTGCCATATCATCTGAAATGTGTGAGATTCCAACTGCTTGCACTACCTGGATTCTTCTTCCATCATAGGTGATATTGGAACCTTGTAGATCTTTGTGTCTAATTCTTCTTCAGTGCCTCCAACTTTGGTTATGACTATTTTAGATGGTCTTCCTTCAAGTTTCATTTCCTCAGCTAGATCTTTGCGTACCATTGATATTTGAGCACCGCTATCGTAGAAAACCTTTGCTGCTTTGGTTCCATGTACTCCCTTCACTTGACCAAGAAGAACAGGTAATAAGGTACCACCACCATCTTGTGTAGAGCCAACGTGTGCAGCAGATTCATTTGCATCAACATGGAGGAGCTTGTGATGAGGCTTATTGCAGACGATACCCGACTGTTGTTTCTCCCCGCAATCTTTCTTTCGTGTGCAATTAGCAACTGTATGTCCTTTGCCTTTCTTCAGACAACAGAAACATGCTCGTTGATCCTTCACTATTTTCCATCGCTCGTTTGGGGTCATATCACAAAATCTTTTGCACTCATCCACATAATGTTGACCTTGACACACATAACACTGTTTCCACATTGGTCGTTGATCTCTTTGTTTTCCATCACCATTTTCATTCTTGGAGCCAAACACATAAACACGACTTGATTTGACATTTTTGCGGATTTGAGCCCCAGAGCGCATTCGAGCGGTCATCTCCCCCTCCATCCAGGATAGAAGGTTATCCATTGATGGTTCAAGCCTTCAGAGTTCAGATGCCGTGCCCAAACTCTTAGGTCATCTTCGCTCATCTTTCTTTCTATTAGAGATATCACATGTGTGTTATCCATATCTTGAGGGCGTTTAATTTCTTTCAAGATGTTGTATGACCTTCTCACTAAATTTACCAAATGGCAAAAACGATTATCTTCTCCAAGTTGTATACTTTTGAATCTTTCCAGATCAAGGGTAACCGTATCTGACACAACTCGAGGATCCCCATAATTTTGATTGAGATACTTCCATGCAGCAGCTAGATCAGAACTTATTCCTTCTATCAACTTAGCTGGCTCAGAGCTTAAACATGAACGTAGTACTGTCAATGTATCTCTTTCAGAATACTGTGCTTCAACTGCGTGCTTGAAATCCGACTTGAATATGAAATATTGTCGAACATCACCTGAAAATACTGGTAGTTTGGCTTTTTCATGCTTAACGGTAAAGGACTTTGGCGACTTAGTACTGGGCTTTACTGCTTCGGAACTTGGGATTGTGCTTAGTTCACTTTCCCCATTATCACTACTACATCCAGTTCCAGGCTGTTCTATAACACCATTGCTTCCTTCAGCTACATTAACTCCATCAATATTTTCTGCATTTTGGACCTCCTCATTCACAATGTTTGTACCATTTTCATCAGTCTTCTTATTAACATAGTCATGACATAAAATGGAACAGGCTATGTACTCACTTGTGCAGGCTTGCATCCAGGCTTCAGATTCTTCAAACTCTTCATCGCTCAACATAATAGCATATTCCTCATGCTTCGTCAACAAAACTTTATGGACCTTTTTTACATCTTCAAACGCTTCGCTTACTTCATCCTTTGACCGGTTTGCCTCAATAATTTCCTTCGCTGCCTTGATAACCCTCGTAAGAGAGCCCTTTGCACTTCGACGCACATTCTTAGCTTTATCCTTTTCATTTCTCTCCATTATACTTCGCGATTAACTTTAGTCGCATAGCACCATCAGCAAACAGGTGATAAATCTTCAGATAATGGACCGATGGCGCACACAACACAATAAAACAACAATGATTTGGGTTTCAAAATTGATTATACATAGTATAATTACAATCTGAAGCTATATAATACAAAGAAAAGGAAGAAAATATATAAGTATTTATTTTGACTAAACCCCTCTACTTAGTTTCCTGTACTTACATTTGTCCAAACCACTGTTTAGATTAACATAACAAACAAAACAACCCTTAAATCGCTCTTTTATAGCTCAAAATTATTTAACTTCGCTTCGTCTCTTTGGCAATGTTTCCTCGTGTTCGTGCATTTTGTTTTCGGGCGCACTTGTGTACCCTCGTTACTTTATGTTATATACGTCTATAAGTCAACGAAACAAAACTCTATAATTTAAAACAAAGCCTGTGATTAGTTCCCAGACTAAGATGTAGCCAATCAAGTACAAATTTACATAATAAAACTGTAAGGAATTGTTTGACTTGCTGGGGTGTGCCACTGCTGATCTCAGATCAGTGGTTGCTGCTATTTCAAAATTTGAAGCATACAGTAACATTGTCAGTTGAAATACTTGAAAAAATGTAAAAAATCACAACATGGAACATTCCTGTGAAACATTAATATAGCTGCCTAAAACAATAATATTGACAATGTATTGCTTTACACTTTTTTGTTTGTTTGACAATTTGAATTTTGAAGCAATTTCAAAGATGCAAAGCAGCTAACAGAGATGTTTTAAAAAAACAAGTTCATCAATCTGCTGCAAGTCTGACTTTCTTAACTTGCATCAATATTGATGTTCCCGGACTTGCTGCAAGTTGTTCTGTCAGACTTGTCAAAACTTGTTTCCCCGCAAGCTTGCTGATACATTCGCTCTGCACAAAAATGTAAATAAACCGCATGATACATTCGCTTTGTCTTACACTTTGCCTTTTGAAGTTGCGCTTATATAATTATGTTAAATCTTCAACCCGGTGCAAACTACGATGTGTCAACACACCCATACAGGACCACATCTTGTTAAACGGCGAAATAGCAGCAATATTATTAAAATAGGACCAGAATCTACATGTAATAAATATATTCTTACCTCAATTCAATCTAAACTTAATCGAACACCATGAAAAGAACAGTTTATTTGTTCGTCTTGGAGGAATTGCCGTATCATGCAAACGAAATGGAATTTGCGCATCGGAAAATTAGCCAAAGCTGTGCACCACAACTCTTGGAAGACAAGACTGGGACATAGATAAATACGATCACATACACATTTCAAATACTAGTATATAACTCTGTTGCTGACGCCGGAGTAATTATGCAAAATAAGGTAGGGTAAGGTCAACAGGGTTAAAGAGATCTAATAACAATTATTCACTTACCATGCTTGTAAAACACGTGTATTCATGCTCACTCCTTGAATGGCAAATTGCAGAAGCCAATCTATTTCCGACAATTTCCGAACATTTTTTGTTAAGCGCAGAAAAAGTGCACAAATGGCGACACTACCCCTTTAACCCTGGGTTAACATTAACTGGCTTTCGAACCAGCCCCTGGGGATTAATAATTATACCTAAAATATTACTAACACAAACAACAGTACAACCATCAATCTTGCTGGTTTACAAGTGTTAAGTATACAATCACAACAAAACTTCACACACAGATTTGACAGTGATGGTATTTCTATTTCAGTATTTCTATTGAGAATTATTGAATAAGAATTCACATGTTAACTTCACAAAAGCTCGAGATTCAATGTTGAAATTAAAAGATAAATTTTGGAACGAAATATTGGTTATGTTTTATTTTAAAGTGTTTTATTTGCCATGCATAAATAATCTTTTGAGGTGTGCATGTGGTATACACAGATTGTCTGCTATTATGCTGTTAAATGATGTGCTTATAAACCCAAAATGGGTTTTTAGTTATTCAGATAGAGAACCTAAAATGGGTTTTTAGTGATTCAGATAGAGCATAAAAAGTTGGTTAGTACATTCTATATTCACAATTTTTAAATAATATTTTTAAACACTTAAAATTGTTTTGAATTAATTCGATACATATCGATCCTATGATTCAACATACCTGTAGACTATAATACTGGTTTTGATATAGGCTATAGAGGAAGAACAGCTAGAGAAAGAATTGCCAACAACTTTCTCAGAATTTTCTGGCCTAAGTGAATTGAGAGCGATGACAAAGTGCTGTAGGGGGGTGCAACAGGTAAACATGTATAATGTATAGGGCGTTGTTGCAATATAT